TTTATTTATAAACAAGAATAATAATAATACTAATTATTATATTTAATATTTACTGCGCCCTCTGGTGGCTCACATGTCCTCCTGCACCCTCTACCATACGCACAATAACATTGAAGAGGGCGCAGCGCCCTCTGGTGGCTCACATGTCTTACTGCACCCTCTACCATACACACAATGCAAATGAATAGGATTGAAAAGGGCGTAGCGCCCTCTTGTGTCTCACCTGCCTTCCTGCACCTCAGTATGGCGCGCCCCTCCTGAGCTGTCCTCCGGTGTGTCAGCTTCTCGTCTAGCGCGGGGTGCCTGTAGGTTTTGGGGAACCTCTCCTTCACCACCGCCGCCTTCCCCAGGAACTTCCCCCGGTACACCCGGGCCTCGGCGCCCTGTTTTATCAGCTGCAGTCCTTCCAGATACTCCCGGCTCCTCCGCCGGCTGTCACTCTCCGCCTGGCAGGCCATGGCACCAGCTCGGGCAGTCTTCCGCAAGGGGCGTAGGAAAGGACTCTCAGCGAACGCGTTACGCCACGTTTTAGCGTTAACTGAATGGAGAATAGCAGACGGCGCAGTTCGGGGGTCTAAATGTTGCATAAATAAAGGCGTTCCGGTCGGAAACTGAGGAGGTGAAATAAAGTTCCGGGAGCATAAGTAATGTGTGCTGCGCTGTAGTCTACTGCAGCGCTATGGAGTTCATCCAAATCACATTAGATCCTCACACAATACAGCAAGAAAATAAACAATTATTTTATAACATCACATAGCGAGTAATAGTTTGCAGTATACCATAACAACCAGTTTGTAGAAGTATTAAACACGTATACCTCAGTCACGCAGGCTTTGTACTATTTTTGGTTAATGTGCATTATGTTGCATGTTAACAAGCAATGCGTTAAGACAGCAAAACATCCCTAAAAAAATAAGTGTCACAAAATTTGTAACACAACACACTATTGTGCGTTTAGGCGCATTATAACACACGTGCATTGCCATAGTGCATCGGGGTGGCATTCAAAATTAAATGGCAAAGCAGCAATGCATGAAATGTGCACTACAGGGTGTCAATGCAACACAGACAATTACATGAACCCCCTTTTTTTTTGCATGGAGTAATAAGGGTCGAGACCCTTCAGATTTTCTATCTGTCTGTGTAACCGCTGGGGAGATTCATCCTCTCTGTTAGATTTGTCACCAGAACAAGAAGGGAGGGAGAGTTATCCAGTGGGGACAAATATTCTGGTGACAACGGTCTAAAACAGCGATTCCCGTCGGTTTAGGGAGATTTGCTCTCCTTTCCTGTTGTGTCTCTAGGACAGGAAGTGAGGGGGCATTACTTACATTTTTAGTTGCTTAAAATCCTGCCTGTCTTCAACCCCATATAATGTAAAGGAGGGGGCTGGGAAGTTATGTTCTCTCCAATGAACCTAGTCTGTACTGTGCTGGCACACGTCAATCTACATAATTTGTAAACTAGATTCAAACACTGTCTGTCCAACAAAGATTTCAAGGAGAACTATGAGGGGGGGTGCTTTTCACTCATCCTCATAGTTCTAGCCGACCTGTGACAATGAGACTGTCACAGGTCGGCTCAGTAGATCGGGAGGTGAGAGAACACAGACCGGCGTTCGCTCACCTCTCGATCCCGTCAGGGCAGAGAGCTGTGACAGGGGAGGGGCTGGATTCCCCCCTCCCCACTCCGATCCTCCAGCGCTGACTGGCGGATTGGACGGGGGAGGGGGCGGGTACAGCTGGCTCTGCCTCTAGATAGGCAGAGCCAGCTGTCAGTCACGCAGCTGGGCGGATCCAGACATAATTGTCGGGATCCGCTTCAGCTGCAGCGTCTCAGTATACTACGAGCCGTAGCTCACCATATACTGAGCTTAGGGTGACGGGAGGACGCTAGTTTGTGTCCTCCCGTTACCCTAAGGAGAACTATGGGGAAAAGCCTATGTCAGTCTGTCCCTCTCTTTGTCTCCTAGTCTGTCCTTCAGTCTGTCCCTCAATCTGTCCGAAGGCTTGTCCATCGGTCTGTTCATCAGCCCATCCATCAGCCTGTCCATGGGGCTGTACCTTCAGCCTATCCCTCATTATGTCCTTCAGTCTCAGTATGTCCCTCAGTCTCTCCCTCTGTCCATCTCTCTGTCCCTCAGTTTTTCCTTCATTCTGTCCCTTACCCTGTCCCTCAGTCTGCCCACCCCCATTATATACTTTCTAACTACTCAGTGTAGTCTGGAATCTGCACAAAGACCTAGCCAAATATATTTGTCAAAATAATAATGCTAGATATGCGGTGTGAATATGAACACGTAACACAGATATGGTTGGGGGTTTCATAAATTTGACTGCAATGGTGGAACGTCACTTTAAATTGCCCCCCCCCCCCCCCACCTCCCTACATTATAA